TGTCGAGGATGTACGCCACCGGGTCCGGACGTGCCGCACGACCGGACTCAAAGAACCGATCTGCACCCGCGCACCGTCGCCGTCAACGCTGCTAACTTTATGACGCCGAGGATCATACTGGACACCGTGTTGCCCGACGCCAGCAAAAGTGCCGCGATAATGTGGGAAGATTATTATTAACTGTGTTCGTCTTTTCGGTTTGTTTGTTTTCAAATAATCTGTTGTTGCTTATTAATAAACGGCCCACAGGTCTCTACCCTTAAAACCAGTGTCGACTACATTACTGCGACGTAAGTCTTGTCAATATTTTGTAGTTAAAACCTATTATTATATCAAACCTAATTCGACAATATATACTTTAAAAATATGAGAAATAAATTATATTAATTGTCTGTATGGAAAATAAGTTTAGTCACCTTTTTTTTGGATAAAGCGAAAATTTTTTTTTTAATTTTTGAGAGTAATATCTGTAACTAGATACTAGTTATGATCTTTGATGTATCATTACAATAATTGATGAAGTGAGAGATGAGAAAAAATAATGACAGACAAATAAAAATTATATGGTAAAATAATTTAAATATAAGTATGAAATTGCTTCGCGCCAAGGGAGACTACAGTGGTGAAAGCCTTGATATTCATTGAAGTTATTTAATCTAAATAAAATAAAAATCAAAAGAATTTTGAATTTTTACTACCTTAGAGAGAATTTAGAAATAACGCAAAAAAGTTAAATTTAAAATGGCGAGGTTGGAACCTCGTACCCAGAGCATGAAAGATTATAGTGGAACCGTAATAGCTAAAGCTCAATTTAAGCTAGTTTAAAAATTTAAAGTCATTTTTTTAACTTAGAGAAGGAAAACTATTCAAAATAATTTTTAATTTATATTCAATGTAATTTAGATTAATATAAATTTTATAAAAATTAAGGACTTTATTAGTATGGCAAATCTTTGTAATGTATTAAAAAGTAAGGTAAGAAAAAAAAAATTGAACACAAAAATAGCATGTGTTTTGAACTATGACAGCAATTTGCACTTAGTAGATAGGTCGTCAGAAATTTTTTTTTTTAACTATAGTACGTAGTAAAATTTTAGTTTAACTTATATTTTCTAAAGATGCAGTATTACTGGAATATTTTTTAAAGTTTAGTGAAAAAGTGAACTTTAGTGCTAAAGTTGCCGTTTTGAATTCCGTCCCGTTGGAAAATAAAATGCCAGGTTTTAAAAAAATTTATCTTAGATAATAGGGAAATATTTGAGATCTTTATTCAAAAAATGTATTTTAATTCGTCCATTTTTCAAAAAGTTATGGCAGTTTTAAGAAAAAAAATTTTAAAAATGTTAAAGTTTACCGATTTAAAAAACTATTAAATTTTCAAAAAATATATACTAAAAGATAGGTAAATATCTAATGTATCTATTTAAAAAATATAATATATGACACGGTCCTAAAAGATAGGTAAATATCTAATGTATCTATTTAAAAAATATAATATATGACACGGTCCGCGTCGCTTCGTTATACACGATGCCCCGCGACTCGTGCCACCTTTATCAGCCGTCGTCCTATTTTATGAGTATTTGCTGACCAACACCGCGTGTAATACGCTACGGTGCAAAGTCCAGCAAGTGCCGCACGGCCGACGACGACCCGCCGCAAATGGTGCGAGAGTCTTCCTCCCGTTGTGAAAGCGACAACGTCGACCAACCGATCCGCACCCGCGCACTGTCGCCTACAACGCTGCTAACCATTTTGCCGTCCAAGGATTACATCGGACACCGCGTCTTCGACGCCAGCGAAAGTGCCGCGATATTATGCGAAGATTATTATTACTGTGTTTATCTTTTCGTTTTGTTTTATTTTTGTTAAAATAATCTGTTGTCGCTCATTTAATAAACGGCCCACGGGTCTCTACCCTCAAAACCAGTGTCGACCACATTTTTGCGACGTAAGTCGTGTCATATAAAAAAATATAAAAAATAATTTTGTTTCTATTCATCCATTTCTCATCCCTTTTAATTTATAAGGTTGTCAACTTTATTTTAGCTTCGATGCGAAGTTAAGGAGGTAGTAGTTTTACTATGATGTCTTTTTTTTGATGTCTGATGCCTCTTTTTTTCAGCTCTCACAGGACCGATTTCTTTCAATGAAACGTCAAAAGATCACAAATCGTATCTAGTCATAGAAATTACCCTCAAAAATTGAATAAATTTCCCTCGTTCCCCGTAAATGGGGTTACCTCCAAAAAAAATACAAATTTAAAAATTGCTAATTTTCGAAATTTTTTCAATTTTTTTTACTAAAAACTGCTATAACTTTTTCAAAAATGTACAAATCAATATAATTTTTTTCTATAGATGTCTGATGTCTTTACTTATTATTTGGTATATTATTTTTATAAATCTGACCCTTTACCTGCCTACAAGGGGGAATTTAAAATGACAACTTTTTCACAAAAAATTATCTTTTTCAACTTAAATTTTGAAAGTGTTCCGGAAAGTCTAACACTTTTATATATATCTCAAATTAAAGATAATGTAATGTAATTTATTATGAAAAAAAAAAAAATTTCGGACTTCATTTTGTTCTTCATGGTGAAAATGGATATCGAATGCTATTTATGTGTGAAAATTCTCAATTTTATTTTTTACATTTTTAACTTTATAATGCTATAACTTATTGAAAAGTGTCTGGATCAACATAATTTTTTTATGAGAAATAATATTTTTTAATAATCCCTTTTTCATTCGACATACTTTATCTTAATCAGGATATTAATAAGGAACTAGCAGATCATGTAGCTTTTGGAATAATCCATCAATTTTTTAAAATTAAACACTATCCAAAGATGTGTATCGAAGTGTTTTTTATAATAGTGATTTTAATCACTGTCAGATTAAATCTATACTGGACCCAACTATGCAACGTCCCCACTATGCCGCGACTCCACTATGCTGGGTTGTTTTTTTGTTTTTATTTATTATTATTATTATCTTAACATTAGTATTATTAATATCTTCTTCATCACCTTAATCCCAACTACTTGGGGTCGGTAAAGTGATGTGTAATATCGAATTATTCAATAGGCACTTAAAAACTATTCGAATAGTAAAAAAAGTCATAGTCATCTCATAATTTTAAATTGTTAACTTTTTTTAAATATCTGTAAATAAATATTGTAAAAATTCATATTTATTAAAGTTTATAAAAAAATAGATAATTATAACATAATGTATATTAAAGGTTACATTTACTGATAAAGTATAACTAAAATATTTTATTGGTTGTTCTTTCGACATTATCAATAAGTGATATATGTGTTAACATTACTTATATTAATAATAATATTTCTTTTATAATATCACAAAACAACAGTGAAAAAATATAACATGATATTGTGTGTTCTTAAAAGCATGAATATCTCCCAAAAGTAATCTCCCTGGTTATCGATCCAGTTTTGTTTTATTATTTTCAGAGTTATTATAATTTTTAGTTATAAACAAGCAAGATGGCGAACGCGGAAGAATTATTATCTGTGCATTATGGTACCACATAAGACTACCTCACTTATTTAATAATTATTTAATCTTTAAATGCTAATATCTCAAAAATTGAAATAAAAAAATTGGTTATCGATTAGTCAAAAAGTTATTTTATTCTTTTTCCATTTTATATGAATATTTTGAGTTACTTTTAACTTCGATGAGATGGTTTTAATTTTACTATGATGTGTTCTTTATTTGTGTATCTGTTGCCACTTTTCTCGACCCTAACCAGAACTATTTTGTTGGGCAATATGTGAAAAGATTAAAAATCGTCTCTAAATGAAGATATAACCCTCACAAAATGAAAAAATTCTTTCATTCCCCGTAAATGAGGGAAAAATCTTGGAAAACTACAATTTTAAAAATCGGTAATTTTCGACATTTTTTCAACTATTAGCTTTGATACGAATCTGAGAAAGTATTAATTTTACCATGATGTGTTTATTTTTTTAATGTTTTTTTTTGGGTCTGCTACTCCTTTTTCTCAGCTCTCAACGGACCGATTTTTCTCAACGATACGTCAAAAGATTACGAATTGTATCTAGTTGAAGACATTACCCTCAAAAATTAAAAACTGTGCTCTCGTTCCCCCGTAATTGGCAAAAATCCCCCAAAAAATTACGATTTTCAAAATTGGTAAATTTAGACATTTTTAACAACATTTTTCTAAAAATTGCCCTAAGTTATTGAAAATGAACAAATCAAAATAGTTTTATATTAAAACTTTAGATATGTGATGGTGTCAAGTTACCATTATTGTAAATAATTCTTATAATAAAAAACAGACAGCGCATCCACTTTTACAGACTTGAATTGTGAATTGTCTATTAATATGTATTGCAAATCTAATTTATCCTAACTATGCCACGTCCACACTATGTCGCGATTCCATTGGGCTACCGTTTTTTTATAGGTTTTAAAATTTTGGACTATGTTTGAATTTGTTTATTTTTGATAATAAATAATTTTTTCTTATTATACTGTTAGCATTATTTTCAGAGAGCATTGATTATAGTGATATGATTAGAATATTCTAAAATTTTAAGATTATATTACAAAACATTCTATTTTAAAGAGTAATTTGAGAATAGGGCTATTTTTTTTTTTTAATTTTAGAGCTTATTTTAAGTACATATTAATTTTTTTAACATTTAATAGTTTAAATAAAAATAAATTTTAATTATAATTTATCCATATTATAACTTATATTTGGTATTAACTTATATTTTAAGCATGGATAAAATTTAATTTTACTTTGAAAAAACAATATCATATAATAGAATATATACAATTTTAAGAANTTTTACTTTGAAAAAACAATATCATATAATAGAATATATACAATTTTAAGAAAATACTCTATTGATAAAAAAAATGGATTATTTTCATTTTTACTTATCAATGAGGATAATATTGATTTCTTTAAAAACTGAATCTATTTTTTTTACATAGAAAATTTATGCAAAGATGATTTATACAAAACTTTAAATAGAACACATGATTTGGACGAAAATGAAGACGATTGGGTAAATGATGATAAGTTTGCAGAACTTGGTTTTGTCAAAATCGAGACATCTTTATCTAGTTTTTACAACGATGCAAGTATTGATGGCGAGGCGATCAAATTGTATAATGAAACATTAGATGCGTCAACATATGTCTCATGTTACATGGTTGATTATTTAATGTATACGATAGTTCCTACCAGTTCAAATAATAGATAAACATAAAATAAGTTGAAAATTTAATATTCATTAAAATTCATATAATGTGTAATATTAAACTCAAAACATAATTATAATTCAGTGTTGTTAAGTCCGTGATCCTTATGGATTCCCTTACGGGAAGTGTTGTAGCTAAATGAAACATATGATTGTTCTACAAATCCTTGGGTTTGAGGTGAGTAGGCTGAACTGAACATCTGCTTGATGTCTAAGTTATCAGTTATAAGTTTGTACCAGTTCCTCGATCACTTGCTATAGATTGAGCCCCATTTGAAGATTTACTCACAATGGAATTTTATGACTGACTCGCCGTCTGCAGAGCGAATTCCTTTAGTGAAAATGTACTTGGTCATGTTGCAAGTTGCTACTATTATAAATTTCTTTCCATTAATATTGCATAGTACCCCGAGAAAGTCAATGGTTACTCTATAGATAATGAAGTTCTATCTATAACTGAGATGGGCTGTAGCAGTTCTGTAGGTTTCCCCGTGACTCTTTTATTGATTTGACACAAAAGACATGTTTTGATATAAGCAGCCATATCTTTCGTAAGAGAAGGCTAATAATATTTTTATTGTAGCTTATTTATAGTACAAGATATACCTGTATGTCCTGACGTAGAACTTTCCTGGTACGCCTTTAGTATCCTAATAGTAAATTTCTTGAGTACTAACAGGAAATTATAGTTGCCTATATTTTGATTATATGGTATAAAATATAATTGTACAGTTGTAAACTGGGCAAGTCCAATTAGACTATGCCGATAAGTGTCATAGGCAAAGGTCAAAATAATAACGATAATGTAACATTCGCCGATGGAACACCGACAACCGAGCCAATAGTCAGGTCCCTTTTTATTAGAAATAATGACATTAACAATTAAAGGTACATTTAACATAAAATTTACAGTATTAATGATTACTTGTTAAATATTATTGCAATACACTTTCTACTAGTTATATAATAAACATAAAATTATAGGTTTATAACAGTTGAATGAATAATATTTTTGACAATGACATGACCTATATATTTTATGGATAGAAATTTACATCAATTTAAGTCCTACATCCAATAGTTAAATCAATACTAACTTTTAAATTTTGTCGTGTTCTATTTTTGTTTTATCTGATATAGATATATCACATTGAAATTTGGTAATGCCTACCAAATTACTGTACAATTAATTTTATATGGTTATCTTGTATAAACAAAAATATCCATATGTGTATTAATTACTACTGATTTCTGTTATTCATCTGTTAAACATATATGAGCATAGGCATTTTTAATATCTATTTAACTGAAATAGATATTATTACAATGTTTGGCAAATAAATAAACTATTTTAGGTAATGGATTATGAATACCTCGAAGGATAAGATTAAGAGTTACTTATTAAGAATACTAAAATCACCACATACCCGGACAGTATTATCAGGTTTGAGGACTAGAACAATGGTGGTTTCTCAATTGGAGTGTTCAATAGTCAAATCACCCATATTAAGCAAACCAAACGTTCGACGGAAATTCAACAATGCATTGGTATGGACTCCAGACGCCTTCGAGAACTCGTTATCACAATGGCAGCAACGGCTCGCGATAGAATACTTGTTACCATAATAATAATAATATACGTTACGTTTAAATAATAAAAAAAAGTGTCCGCCACTTCACCGCATGTGAATGTGTATTAATAATAAGGGCGCGCGCGCGTGTGTTAAGTCAGTGTGACCAATATCGTAAGCGTAAAATTATAGTATGTATCTAGGTTTGAGGCTCTAAGGTCAAACATGTTATGAAATATTCGGTATAGTTAGTTTTAGTTATTATAGAGGTGGATATAATGCCCATATACTCAGACCTATTGGTCCATTGTACGCACCTCATATCGAATTGTCTTGATTCGGTTTACCCACCTAAGTGTTATCACCGAAGTGTTATTGCAATATACTTATCATTGTATAAGACCATCAAATCACCCTTTTGGATGACCAAAGAGACTTGTCTTTTCAGCGAAATTCAGTAACTCTCTGGGTCTTAGGTTTTTAATATCTTCTTTTCAGGAAAAGGTTTACTCAAGTAGTTTGATCTTAGTGTGGAAAATGTCTCACATTCACACATAATATGAAATAAGTCTTCCTCTTCTCCTCCACACTTCCTGCACAATGGTGATTCCGATACTCTGTCGCGTAAGTTGCTGACTCTTTGATAGTTGACGGTTCATCAAGTGTCCCGTTATTCGCATTGAGACCTTTGAGTTCGCGATTCTTCTGCGAAGAGTCGCTAGTTTACGCTTTTGTTCCGAGAAGTTGTCTGTAGGATCCTTGTTCATCTCAAATTCGTTATTATGTGGTTTTTCTATGTTTTTGTCCATATAGTTTCCACAAGTATTTGAGAAATAAAGGTCCATCACGGCAGAGCTCGATACTGTGATAAGGCTGTATACTCTATGGTGCGCCAGGTACCATAGAGGATCCCATTGGTCACTTTACCTTTTGGCTAACTACCCTGTGACAAGTTAGCAACCCTTTCACTTGGTATGGCTGGGTTAGGGGGCCTATTCGCTGTTAGCAAGCAGGTATGCCCAGGCCTACCGGTCCCAACTAACCAAGTCATGACCGGCTAAGAGCAGTGGTATGTGTCGTCACCAACCACTGAATTAACTAGAGTCCGCGGGGTTGTTAAGCCCGTGATCCTTGCGTATCACACTGCAGGGAATTACTCGGTATACTTATGTATACTATATTGTTGAAATGGTAAATGGTGACGTATTGTACTGAATGAAGTATTGTAACAATAATCATTAACAATAACAAAAATATACAATTGTACAATTTAAGAAATATTGAAATAGACATAATATCACAAAAAAATTGTCTCACATTATTTAAAGCTTTTTGTCCTTATTTTATATGCCTACATTTTTAAAAAATATTCAAATTTTCACGTAAATGCATTAGAATCTTTGAAGGCATTAAATGTGAAGGAAAATTAAAATAAGCAGGGATTAAAATGTTATATTTGTGTACAAATTTTCGATACTTTATGTTAAAATTACATTCATTGTGTGTAAAATAACGTGTATATTAAAAATATCATGCTAATTTATTACAATTTTTGGATTATTTATTACAATGCTGATGTATAATTAAGTAATTTATTCAATATTTCAGAAAGTTCATCAAGATTAGAACTATTATCACCGTACGTCTATAAATTATCAACAGCTGCTCTTACTTGATGATATTTAAATTATCATTAGAAATATCTTATTATAAATGAAAATTGTACTCCAGAGAACTATAGTTCTGTTTTTTTCTTTCATTTATTGTTTTATTGTTTTTTATTTATTTATTGGAGACAAATAAATATTTTCTCCAAACTTTGGAGAAAATAAAAAATATTCATTTAACGTATCCCAAAACTGTAGAAATTTTTAGAAAAAAGTAGCAAAAATTATCAATATAAGGTGGGAAACTCTGTATAAGAATCAAATAGGGACTTTCAAATTCCATAGTTAAATTTAATTTTTATTATGTTTAACTTATTTCAAAATTATATTTATTGTGTATAAAATAACGTGTATATTAAAAATATCATACGGTCGTATGGGAAATTTAGATTATTTCTAACAGTATATGTATACAGTGATTTTCTTCAAATTTACCAATAAATCAATGAATTTATTCTATATTTCAGAAAGATTATCAAGATTAAAAATAATAAAAATCTACAAACAAGTGAAAAGTGAATTCCAGAGATTTATAGTTCTGTTTTTCTTTCTTATAGGAGACAAATAATGAAAAACGTACTTTTAACGTAGTTCCTAACTGTAAATATGATTACAAAAATAAATAAATAATTAACGCAAAATATATGCTACATCAAAAGTTATTAAAGAATTATGAACCTAATGGAACACTCTGTATAGGAACTAAATAGGGAATTTACAGTTGTATAGTTCAATCGAATTTATATTTACTTAAAATATTTTAAATATAATAAAGGCAAAAATAAATCATAAATCAAACTTTAATATGAAAAAATACAATGATATTTTAATATCAAATTATTTACTTTCAAAAAAAATGAAGAGACCTTGATACACATTAAAAGACTGTATGATAAAATTATGTTACCAATTTAATTTATTAAATCAAAATAATTCGAAAGATCATAAGTCATTTTAAAAAAACTCGTAATAATAATTATATATTCAAGTAACGCTAGGATTAAGTCATAATCTATATTTTATTATGTATTTTACTAGATTTCCTATACATATTTTTTTTAAATGATTTTCTTTTCTATTATAACGTGTCTATTTTTTAATATTTCAACAGTAAGTTACATCTGTAAAAGAATGCCATTGCAATTTTTCGAGATACATATTGAATTATTTATATATATATTTATAATATATAAATATATAAAGAAAAATGGTTTTATTAAAAAAAAAGTATGTCAAATAAAAGAGGGATATAAATATTTTTTCTCCTAAAAAAAATTGTATTGATCCATATACTTTTTAATAAATTATAGCATTATAAAGTTAAAAATATAAAATATAAAATCGAGAATTTTCATATAAAAATAGCATTCCGATATCCATTTTCACCATGAAGACAAAATAAAATCCGAAATTTTTTTTTTCCATATTAAAGTATATTACATTAACTTTAATTTAAGATATATATATAAAAGTGTCAGAGTTTCCGGAACACTTGCAAAAGTTTATTTTTTCTGAAAAATTGTCATTTTGAAATCCCACTGTAGGCAGGTAATAGGTCAAATGTTCACCAAAAAAATATCAAAAAATAAGTAAATGCCTAAGGTATCTATAAAAAAATTAAAAATTTTATTGATTTGGTTATTTTTAAAAAAGTTATGGCTGTTTCAAGTAAAAAAAACCCAGCACAGTGGGGTCGCGTCACAGTGGGGACGTGGCATAGTTGGTTCCAGTATAGATTTAATCTGACAGTGATTAAAATCACTATTATTAGAAACGCTTCGATGCAATTTTGGAGATAGTGTTTAATTCTAAGAAAATGGTGGATTTTCTTATTAAATTTTCCTATTTATAACATGAATTTATTACC